CAAGCTATGTGGGATGTGGTGGCAAACCTATGATATGCGTACTGCAGCAGGCTGTTTGTTATCACTGAAAGCTTTAAAAGATTTGCCATTACTGCAAGAAGGGGGAGCACTCAAGCTTTCTTAATAAACTATCCAGCCTGTTGATGGATATGTGAAAAATATTACGTAAATTAAAACTAGAGACTGAGGAAATGAAATGATAAGATGGCTATGTGTGTTCTTTACAAGATACATTACTAGTTTCAGACAATAAATTACATACCACTTGGCTCTACATATGTAAAATTCTAAAAACACATACTAGTTTACAGTGACAAAACAGCAGTAGTTCCTTGGTGGGAAGATTATAAAGAGGCAGAGGAAACTTCTAAGGATGATGGCTTAGCCTTTCCAATCTGAGTTCTTAGATTTCACTTTCTCACCTCATTGCACTAGTTATAAATTCTGATGGATGTTAAATAAAAGTGCCGAGAGCTGACATCTTTATTTTGCACCTGATCCTAGAGGAAATACATACAGTTTCTCACCATTAGGTAAAATGTTTATGTGTAGACTTTTTGTTGATGTCCTTTGTCTGATTGAAAGTACCCTTCTATTTCTAGTTGGCTGTTTTTTTTTCCACTCAAAAATATAGGATTTATCGTATTTGTGTGTGTATGTGTGTGTTGAGATGTTCATATTTCCTAGTTAAATATGGTGAATTTACATTGTTGATTTTTTTACAAAAATGTTAAGCCAATCATCCTGGAAGAAGAATCTGAGGCTTTCTGTGAAACTGTCAGCCTGGACTATTATGTCTATGCTTTTATGAGCCATAAAATAAATCATTGTTGCCTCCTCAAACATCTATGATGACCTGTCTCATTCTGATAATGGTAACATGTGTCTTTTCTCTCATTTTTCTTAAGTTTTACCAGTTGCTCAAAGAACTAGGTTTTGGTTTCATCAATGTTCTCAATTATTTTCCATTTTATTGATTTCTACTTTGACCTTTGTTATTTCTTTTTTAAGTCCTTTTTCTTTTGGGTAAACTTATTTGTGTTTAACTTGCTCTTCTTGGTTTCTTAAGGTAAAAGCTGAGGTCATTGCTAATACTGAATAGGCATTTTGTTTACATATTTCCTCCATACATAGTACTGTTTTAGTGAAATCCCATAAAACTTAATTTGCTCCTGTATTTTCATTCAGTTTAAAATGCTGTCTAAAAAAAAATTTCTAATTGCACCTTGGGTTTCTTTTTTAATCAATAGATTTAGAAGTATGTTATTTTGTTTCTAAGTATTGGAGGATTTCCCAGATAGCTTTTGTTATTGATTTCTAATTTAATTCCATTTTGATCAGAGAAGACATTCTGTATGATCTGAATTGTTTAAAATTTTTAAGACATGTTTTACGGCTTAGAACAGGGATTGATAAACTTTTTCTGTAAAGATAAATATTTTAAGCTTTGTGGACCACAAAACAGTCTCTGCCATATATTTTCTTTCTAAGAAATCTTTGAAAAATTTGAAAACTATTCTTAGGTCATAAGACATTAAAAACATGCCAGCTAGGCCTTAAGGTCATAGTTTGCTGATTATTAGTTTAGAACATGGTCTGTTTCAGTATGTTTTGGGTATACACTTTGAAGAATACTTGTGTTCTGTTGTTCTAGTTTTCTAGAGGAATGTTCTAGAAAATTGAAATGAGTACTATTTTATAGTATTTAAGTTTCTACCTATTCTAAAAATTATTGAAAGAGTGGTATCAAGATCTCTGAATATAGGGCTGGAGGTTTAGCTCAGCGGCATAAGCACCTGCCTTGCAAGCAGGCGGTCGTGAGTTCGATCCCTGGTACCAATAAAAAATGAAAAAGACAAAAAAAAATTATATAAAAAAAAGATCTCTGAATATAATTACAGATTTATAAATTTCTCCTTGAAATTCTATCAAATTTTCTTCCCACAGTTTGAAATGCTATTAAGATAGAAATGTTTAGGATGAGTATATGTTCCTCATTAACTTGCCACTTTATTATTTTGAAATGACCATTCTTATCTCTGGTAATATCTTTTTTCTGACATACATTTTAAAATAGTCATGCCTTTTTCTTTTGTTTGATGCTATCACTGGCATGGTATTTTTGTTTTGATCATTTACTCTTAGTGTTTTTGTGTCTTTGTATGTAAAGTGTGTTTCACATTGAAAGCATGTAGTTGGGTCTTGTTTTTTGTTCAGCTTGATAATCTTTGCTTTTTAATAGTATTTAAATTATTTACATTTAATGTGATTACTGATATGATTAAAGTTTATCTTGCTATTTTGTGTTTATTTCATCTGTTCCTTATCCTGATTTCCATCTTTTTCTGCTTTCTGTTGGCCTGAGTAATTTCTGATGATTCTGTTTTCTCTCCTTTGTTGACTTATTTGCTGTAACTATTTCATAATTTAATCAGTTGTTTTAGGTATACACAGCTTTAACCAACTAAAATGCATCTTTAAGTACAACTATAGCACATTACATGTGGGATAGGACCTTACAGTATTATCCCTTCATTTTACCCCTCCCTCCTTCCAGTTACTGTCATGTTTTACTTATGCATGTTGTAAACCCCAAAATAATCACTTAAGCTCCATCCAAGTATTACAAAATGGGGGTGGGAGGGCCCATTCTTTGTAAACCCCACAATATAGTGTTATCATTTTTGTGTATCATTTCAATTAAATAGGAAAAAAAAACTTACAACATTTACCCATGCAGTTACCATTTCCAGTGCTCTGTATTCTTTTGTGCGGATCTGTAAATTTCCATCTGGCTTCATTTCTTTGTACCTAAAAAAATTTACCTTTTTTGCAGTATGGTCTGATGATGGGGAGTTAGTATTAGTTTTTATATGCCTGAAAACATCTTTATTTTGTCTGTTTTTTTAAATGATATTTTGCTAAGAATCCTACAGTATCTTAGGTTAACATTTTTTTTTCTTTTAGTACTTTAAATAGGTTCCACTCTTCCTTGCAATATTTCTGATAAGAGACTATCTTACTTTGTTTGTATCCCTCTATAAAATGTACATTTTCTGACTGTTTTTATAGTGTCTCATTATCACTGGTTTTGAGCACTTTGCTTATACGTGCCTTTGTTTAGTTTTCTTCTTGTTGAACCTCTTGGATCTATGAGTTAATCGTTTTCAACAAATTTAAAATTTTCAACCATTGTTTTTTTCAAATATCTCTTCTACTTCTGTCTCTTCTTCCTTTGGTGACTCCAATTACATAGATATGAGGCCCCGAACGTTTGACAATAGCTCACTGATTCTTTCATTTTAAAACCCTCCTTTTTATTTGTAAAAGTTTCTTTTTCTATATCTTCAAGTTCACTAATCTTTTTCTTCTGCCATGTCTAATCTGCAAACAATTCCATTAAGTAAATTTTTCATCTCAGATATTATAATTTGAATCCCTAGAATTATAACTTGGATTTTTAACGGAAAAGTCACCATATCTCTACTTTTAAAACATACAGAATAGTGTTATGATAATGTTCAATGTCCTTATCTGCTAATTCTAACATCTGTGTCAGTTTAATGTTACTTTCAACTAACTATTCTTTTCATTCTGAGTCATTTTGTGGCTTATGTGCTGGCTAATCTTTAAGTAGATGTGAGGCACTGTGAATTTTGTTGGTTGCTGGATATTCTGTTTCTGTCAGTATTTCTAGGTTTTATTCTGGAATATAGTTAGGTTACTTTGAAAAGTTGACTTTTTAGGCTTACTGTTATGGTTTGTTAAGGAGTACTCAACCTACAGCTCATTTAGGGAAGAATACCACAATAGCTAAATAATATTCTGTAAGGCAATCTTTTAAATTTAGGATTTGGATCTGCAAGGACTTACAAAATGACCCCGGCAATATATTTACCATCCCATTAAAAATGAATATAATATCCGAATACTCATTTTCATAAAAAATTACAAAACACTGAATGAAAATATAAGAGTGAGAAGAACAGAAACTGCAGACAGTGAACATTACAAAATTTTGTATGTGTGTGTGAGTAAAGGTGGCTTTTGGTTACAAACTGGCCTATAACTGAATATACATCAGATTTTCCATATATTATGCTATAATCAAGGTTTGCAAAGGAATAGATTTAATAATACAGAATATATAACTTATCAGATTTCAAAATATTCACCCAAAAAGTCAAATGCAGAAGAGCACAAGAGATCTGTCCACACACTAGAGACCCAAAGAATCCAGCTGAGGTCCTAGATCCTACAACAGTGTCCTGCACGAGTCCAGGTTAAAACCTAGAGCCCATGGCAGTGTCTCATGCAAGTCTGTATGAAGGATCTGCACTGGGAAAGCCCTAGATCAGTAGTGGAAGCTAGAAAAAGTCTGTGCCAACTAGATAAAGGATCGATTCCAGCAGGCTGAGGGGTCTGTGCTAGAGCCAGGAAGAGACTCTCAAGGTAAGAACCAGAACTCCTTAGATAAAAATTGCAGCCATCCTCAGTGACGTAACAACCCGAGCTCTTCCAACAATGAGAACAGCTGAGTTCATATCAGGAAAACCAACGTGACAAACTTCTTCAGGAGAATCAATAGCATAACAGCTTCCCCTCCAGTTCTCCTTTTATGCTGTTGGCAACAATCCTCAGGTGGGCTTTCCACACCCAGAACCAAGTGAGTGTAACAAGTTAACCACTAGCTAAGCTGCCACACATTATAACTCAATCTGTGTAAGCCTCAGTTTTCTCACCTATAAAGTTCCTTTACAAAGGAATCTAGAAAACAGAAACGTGTTAATCCCACCACGATAATATATACAGTAAAAAAGTTTTAACACTCTTTGGTAACCAAGTGAAGTATACATCTAACTTGTATATTTTGTTTTATTTTACTAAACATTTGTTCGAACATTATTATAGAGAAGCAAGCTTTGTTTTGCCTAATAACTGGCTCTGAAAACAAAAGCTGACCGGAGCCGCGGGAGACAGGAGACCAAACTCGAGCAGGATCAGCTCTCAAACTTTATTACGTACAGCGAACCGGACCTGACAAGGTCCGCCACCCTCAACGTTGGTTCCTCTTCCGCCGTTGGGGGCAGGAACAACCTCTTATAAGGGGAAGCAGTATCCAATCACAGAGAAGCGCGCCTAACAAGCTGATAGGCTAGCGTCACGGGTAACTGGGCAGATATGACAATTTGGCGGGCTTGTTCAGGCCGGGAAGAACCCGGAAGCAGGAAATGGGCGCCATCATAGGCGGCTTCCCACATCTCCCCCTTTTTTATTTATTAAAATAGGATGGTCTGTGGGTCCCTCCAAGGTGTCTATGACCTTGTTGCTGTTAGACACCTAGGAGTGGGCCTACCTTGTAGGCCGAGGCATGAGAGAATGTAGAGGTCTATACCCTGCTGTGCATCACCCTGTTTTGTGCATATCCTTGCGCCAGGACCATGCTCAAGGTGAGTGGTTCATTTTTTCGCAGGGCCAGGCTTTTGTGAACCGAACCTGGATGCATATAGACATTCATTCCTGCCTTCCCCCCAACCTTTGGGGCGGATGGCACTGCAGTACCCTTGGTCTCGCATCTCAATGCCAATAATTTGACTCCGGGAGGGACCCCTGGCCTTATAGGCCATATATATCTGAGTGGAGCCTGTCTTAGGTTGACTGGGAGGGCTTTTCCCGTCTTACCCGTCATTGGCTTGCCCACTCAGCTCTTATAGCTGATGTTCTGCAATGTGAAGGAGATATGCGGCGGCCTGCTGGCCTGATGGGCCACCTGCTGCCATTTGCATGGCTGCCATGGCTGTGATCTTAACCTGCTGCTGAGTTTGTATGAGGCGATCTAACAAGCATTTGATAACCACAAGCCCTACTAGGATAGCCATGGCAATTAGGATCCAAGTAGTCAGGTTGGGCCAGGAGAACCAGGAGGTGACGTGTTCCCACAAACTGGCTATAACACTGCCTAAAGTTGATAAATCGAACCTGACTGGACCTAGTTGGATATTTTTAACAGTGTTGGTCAAATTTGTGGGAACAGGGGTGATTAATAGGAACCCACAGAATAGAAAAAGCTCCAAACCAGACATTTTAGTTTGTAGATGGTCTCGGGCGCTGAGCGTCGGTCCCAGAAGGGTCGAGTTGACTTGTGTCCGCGGGCTTATCCTCCTGTGCTTTATCAGGAACTGGTGGGGAGTTTACTGCTCGCGTCAATCTTTCCGGGACCCACAGTGGTTCGCGACCTGGTTCCTGTGGGAAGACACAAACCGCACCTCGGGTCCAGCTAATCACTGGATCCGGGCCCATCCATTGTCCTGTAAGGACATCTTTCCATCTCACCAGCCCTTTGTCGGCCGGGGACGGGTTATTGTGCTCCATGGCAGGGGAATGATTATTGTGATTAAGATTTAAAAAATTTATGGTAAAGAGTGCCAATGATATTCTTCCTTTGGGCGTTAGGCCGTGGCCACCCAATTCACGGCACAGGCGTGTCCACTCTTCTAAGGACCTATTTTTGTTAGTTCTTAGGACATCACGGCACTCCTTAGTGCACTGTTCAAAAATCAATTGTTTTATGAGAGGGTGAGCCGCCTCAGCATCTGGAAAAATCCTGTTAGCGGCCTCAAGCATGCGGGCCACAAAGTCTGAAAATGGCTCTCCCTGCCCTTGTATAATTTTTGTAAGGTGACCCGTATGTTCTCCCTTTCCAGCCAGCCGTCTCCAGGCCTGGAGGCCACAGCGGCTAATTTGTTCATAAACCTGGCGAGGGTATTGAGTTTGATCTTCCTCAAAGGCTCCTCGCCCTAATAGCATATCCCTGTTCCACTCTCTCTGGTTATTTTCCCTGTTGGCTGCCGCCTGCTCTACACAGAATTCCTCATTCCAGGACTTCCAATCTAAATATTGTCCGGGGGAGAGGCAGGCGCGTGCCAGCTGGGTCCAATCTCCCGGAGTTAAAAGCAGACCTGCCAATGCCTCTAAAAGCGCCATGGTAAATGGCGCATTGGGCCCATAAGCTGAAACTGCGTCCTTGATAGCTTTAAGTTGTTTAATTTCTAAGGGCTCATAATATCCTCCTCCTCCCCTGCCTCCTACTTGTACCGGGAATGCATGGAGACCGGAACACTCAAAGGGAAGCCGCGACCATACCCTCTCGTGGAAGGAACGTCCTCCTCCCTCCCCAGATGGGGGCGCAGAAGGCAACCCAGGAAGTAGCTCTCCCTCTAACCAGGGCGGTGCCATAGGTTGTGGTGGCAGCCCAGGGAGCAACTCCTCTTCCGGCCACGGCGGTGCAGTGGGGCCTGGCGCCCTGAAGGGAGCAACCATGGGTCGCGAACTTGCCAAAGGGCGGAAGGGCTTAAGCTCTTCCCGTAAGGCAGAGTAGCTCGGGCAGGGTGGTGTCTTCCCGAGCCCTAAGTTCCTCTTTTAACGGTGTAGGAGGGTCATGCTTAGCAAAGACGACCTCCTCTTCTGAGCCTTCCAAATCCGAATCAGAATTAGAGCCCTGAGGGTCCTCCGGAGACCCACAATCGGCAGTGGCTCCGGGCTCCTCTGAGCATTCCAATCGAGCTCTATCAAAAGCCTGTCGGACTGTATTAGCGAAGCGAAAGCAAAACAGATGCAAAGGGAAAAGAAAAGAAAAAAAAAAAAAAACCGGCGTCCACTCGTGTGGCGCTCAAAATCTGTTAGGTGCGTCCACCCAACCCAGGTGACCCAGTACTCACCTGTCCCGGGAACCGCTGTATCTCACGTAGCTGATCAGGGTGAAGAGAAGAGGCGCTCGCGGCCTTCCGTTGTTATTGGGCCAGGTCCTCCGTCGTACCGCAGGTGACAGCAATCGCACCTCCCGGCCGAAGAGGCACATCGCTGAGTCTTTTACCTTTTTTCCCAGTACGGGCCACCAGATGACCGGAGCCGCGGGAGACAGGAGACCAAACTCGAGCAGGATCAGCTCTCAAACTTTATTACGTACAGCGAACCGGACCTGACAAGGTCCGCCACCCTCAACGTTGGTTCCTCTTCCGCCGTTGGGGGCAGGAACAACCTCTTATAAGGGGAAGCAGTATCCAATCACAGAGAAGCGCGCCTAACAAGCTGATAGGCTAGCGTCACGGGTAACTGGGCAGATATGACAATTTGGCGGGCTTGTTCAGGCCGGGAAGAACCCGGAAGCAGGAAATGGGCGCCATCATAGGCGGCTTCCCACAAAAAGCAAAACAAAAAAGAGTGTCTCTGTGACCTTTGACAGTTGACTTTTTAAAGATTTTTTAAAAAAATAAACATAATTTGAAAAGTGTTTTAGAATACTACCAGATAGGAACCTTTAAGAATTAGAAACCAGAAACTCTACTGATTTTGTGATATTATTCCTTCTTATCCTGATGAATGCTTCATTTAACAAGTGTTTATTTGCTTATTTTTATTCTGACTTTCTTACTTTCCAGCAGCCTTTTTCATGCCTCCCATCTATTTCTATCTAAAATTATACTGTTCTGAGCTCTGAGCCTTGTGAGCAAAGCTTGAGAGACAAGAAAATTCTAATGGTCTATGTTATTTTTTGTGGCATACTAAAATACTCTTCGGTGTTTTTACTGTGGTAAGAATAGTTAATGAGCTCTAACTTTTTAACAAAATTTTAATGCACTAAATATTCTCAGCCAATTAATTCTGAAAACTAGGATGCTTATAAGTTACCCAAAAAAGAATGCAAGAAAGAAGAAAGGGGAGCTGAAGGAAGGAGTCAGGAGAGAAAGAAAAAGACTCATGGTTCTTAAGATGGTGCAAAGTGGTTCTGTAGGACCAGGAAGGGGTATACTCTTTTTATATGTAACTCTTTTCATTTTGTTATTAAAAAGATTCTCAATTGGTGTTAAGAAACTCAAATTTTAATTCCAGTTTTGACACTATTCTTGAATATGGTCTCCAATCTCCTGAAACTGGGACCAAGCTTAAAGAATAGAATTATACCTGAGAGGATTTCCATGTCTCAGTAGTCATAATGTATAGTTCAAAATTCAATATTTTTTTTGGAAAAGTAGGTTATAGTCCTACCAAGAACATAATCACTCCCTTTATTTGTACCAATGTCTCATGGCATTGATAATGATGAAGTAAGATCATATAAAAGAATACTTTTGAGTATTCACTCTGAATATTTATAGTTTCCATGACACTATCATGTTAAAAGGGGGTAAGCATCATTTAGTCTGTTCCCTGCCACACAGTACTATAAAGAGCCTTGGCTAAACTGTAAAAGCAAATGGAAAAAGAATGTGTTGTTCAACCACAAAATAGCTTAGAACTGTGCCTCTAAAAATGCAGCTTGGGGTTAGCGGGACTTGAGTGTGCCCAAGGGATTAAAAACCACTGAATAAACATGAGGCCTCTTGACAGACATGAACTTTAAGACTTTGAAAAACATATAATTATTATATTTATATAAATGCAGAAATATTATAATATACAATGCAACATTTACTTCAATTTAAGATAAAACATGAAACTAAAGAAAATTCTAGATTGAGACCAGTCTTTAAGGCACTTGTTCACTCTTTCTATTAACTGTATTTCTGTAAAGTTTGAGATGCAGTGACCTTATTGGTATATTAAAATCCATACTGGATGGAAATGGATGGTGGTGATGGTTATACAAAATTGTGAATGTATATAATACCACTGAACTGAACCTTTAAAAACAGTTAACATGCTGAGTGAGGTGCCTTACACCTGTAATCCCAACTACCCAGGAAGCTGAGATAGGAGGGTTGCAGGTGTGAGGTCAGTTTGCACAACTCAGTAAGATATTATCTCATTAAGGCTGGGGATGTGGCTTAGCACTGGAACATTTACCTAGCATGCATGATGCCCTGGGTTCAATTAGCGGTATTATCAAAAAAAAGTTGTTAAAATGGTAAGTTTTATGTTAGGAATATTTCACTACAATTTTAAATTTTGAGTAAAAAAATCTCTACTAAAACCAAATATTATCAACAATTTTAGATTATGCTGAGAGGTTTTTAATTTCAATGTACATTGTAAACTGAGCACTATAGATTCAACTTATGAATCATCTCTTATTATGCTCCTGAAAAGTGTACTTGATTCCAAGTTTTTTAAACACCTATCATCAAAGGTCCTTATGAAGAAGTCTCCAAGTTTCTGATTTCAATCTTCAGTGGAAAAAATGCGTATTAAAAAGCCTGTTAGAAATAGCCCTAAAATAAGAAAATAGGCATTCCATAAAGACCTTACTAGAAAATTTACTTCTAAAACATCATAAGAAAATCATGCAGATATCTGGCTAGTAGAGAAAATTTCATTGGAATCTATATGGTCTCAAATAAGGAACTGCTTATATTATAGTATATCCTAATATTTCATAACAGAATATTTATTCGTCTATTAAAAGTGTAACTGATGCACTGGACATCATGGCACATAGTTGTAATCCCAGCACTCAGGAGACTGAGGCAGTAGGATCACTGCTAGTTTGAGGCCAGTCTGTGCTACATTGTGAGTTCAAGACCAGCCCAAACTACACAGTGAGTCCCTGACTCAAAAAGCAAAAAAAAAAAAAAAAAAGTGTAACTGAGTATTTACTGCCTGGAACTATACATACATACATATAAATAAAGGACAAATAGGTACAGAAGTTTAATGACAAGAATTTGATAGTGATTATTTCTAGGTGATAGGACTAATTTTTTCTGCAACTTGTTCATTTAGATTTATTATCAAGTGGCATAAATAAAATACTCAGAAATTCTTACTAACCACGAGGTTATCATTTGCTTATTTATTATTTCAAAAAGTATTTGCGACATTAAATAAAATGTAGTCTTTGCCTTCAGGCTCATATAAAGTAAAAAGGCATGATTAAACTATCTTAGAAGCCAGGCTAAGCACTACGCATCCGTAACCCTAGCACTGCGGTAGAAGGGTTGCAATTTCAAGCCCAGCCTGGGCAACTAACTGACTTAGCAAGACCCTGTCTCAGAAACTAAAAATTAAAAAATGGGCTGAGGCTGTAGCTTGGTGCAGAGGTCTTAGGTTCAATCACTAGTACAAAATAAAAAGTGAAAAGGTTTTCTTTCATTCTCATTACTTACTTGCCATGTCTTTCTCTTACTCATTGAGAACTTCGGCCTTTCTTACAGTATTTTGCCTCCCTGAATGTTTTGCTATCACTGTTTGGCATTTATTTCAGTGTTCATAAGGACAATCCATCCAAAAATCTGAATTCTGACTCCATCAGCTTTTTTATAGTCACTTCATTTAGCTGTCTATATTCAAAGCCACATGTTCTGACCACCAGAAAATTACTTCATGGCCATAGCATTCAATATATTGTCTCTCACTGTAACCACTTCTTTCACCATTTGTTTCACTCAATTATTCCCTAAGCACTTGCCTTCCTACTTTTTTTTTTTTTTTTTTGTGGTCCTGGGGATTGAACTCAAGATATTATGCTTGCTTACTAAGCAGGCACTTGTGCCGCTGAGCTAAATCCCTAGCCTGCTTTCTTACCATTTTTTTTAGCCTCCATTCCTAAACTATTCTCTTTCAAACAACAACCCCTCACATAGCTTGATATCTTTTTCTATCCAGCCTAAATGCTCCAATATATCAGTGTTTCCTGCTAAACGCTTTTCTCCCTGTATAATTCTTTCTCCTGTTCCCTAGGCTAGCTATGGCAAGCCTTTTAGACCTTTCACTGCCCGAGGGCATACATTTTATACCAGCTTCCTTCATCTCAAACATGCCACGTTATCTGCATCCTTATTCCCTTTATGCCTCCTTTATGATATAAAAAGAAAATCAAAACTATCAGCTATGAACTCCAACATCCTGCTCCACGTTTACCAGTTAGTCATACAACTACCTTCACATCCCGCCTTTCTAATCCTAGGAAATGGTATTATTTTCTTTTCCAGATTAATTCCTTTACTTATACAATTGATCCCACACTCCCAAATCTCCTACAGAATCTTGATTTACTTTTACACTCTTTTTAATCTCTGTTCTTTCCTCACATTTTATAAAAACATTAAACTCTGGTTCTACTGTAGAATCTCCTCCTCAATTCTGTAACCTCTCTACAATTATCATCTTTGTTTTTGTTTTGAAAAAGATCCCCAAAATAAATCTGTTGTAACCACTTAAGTCATGTCAGCTTTGGGTTGTTTTGCCAGTGATATTTTATTTTTTTATTTTTTTAGAGAAAGAAAGCAAAACAGAACAAAAGGTAGAAATAATACAGAATTTCCAAAAAAAGGTAAGATATTACTAGTTGATAAATTACGTATTATTATCTTAGAAGTAGTTGTTCAAGTTACAAAATCAAAGCATAAAAAGTAGGCAGACTGTTGGTGATATTTTAAAAAGAACTATGCTTATTAAAATACATCTTCCAATAAGGGACACGTTCTTTGATTAAATGTGTGATATTTTTCTACATGGAAAGCTGAAATTTAATGTTCAGTTTCATATCAAATATATTTTTAATAGTTTCTTCGAAATAACATATACAGTCTTGTATTTATTATCCAAAGTTGACTGGGGCAAAAGTTAACAGTGTGGGGTCATCAAGTAAATTAAACGTTAACAGCAAAAATTAAAGGACTAAATTAAAAACATAGGGCCTAGTCCTCTGACGAAAAAAAGTAAGAAGAAAGTATTCCCACAAGAGCTATAAACTGCGCACCTATTTAAAATAAATTACTTCTTCAGAGCTGCCTTAAAACGTTAATTTGTCTTAAACATGTAAGCATTTCTTAGCCAATAGGGAATATATTTTGTCCTCCTTTTTTCTCCAAAGATCTTTTCTATAAGATATAAGTTTTACATATTAGTAATAGAAATTTAGCATGAGGCTGAACTGTTTTAGAGAACTAGTCACATTCGTCACTCCTAGCACGATAGTGGCAAACCTTTTAGAGACTGAGTACCCAAACTGCAACCCAAAAGTTACTTATTTATCACAAAATGCCAACACTACAATTAAACCTTAACACTGAAGTTTTAGTTTAGAAAAAATAATTGATACATTAATTGTTTCTGTCTTAAAAAGAAAACAACACGTGCCCCAGTGGTTTACAACTGCTATCCTAGAGACCAGAGCATCTCACTTTTACTTCTGTTCACTAAACAGAGATAGCCTCCTCAGTCACTGTCTTCCTCAATTTCCAGGATAAGCTTCAATCCAAGTCACATAAAGTCTCTGAGAAAGGGAGAAGTATAGTTTTTAAAGTTTTATACTCAACATAAAATTTATTTTAACTCTTGAATTTTCATTTACTAAATTGTCCAAAATAGTTCCACTTTGAATGGGCTGTGATGATGCACACTTGTGATCTCAACACACTGGGAGTTTGAGGCAGGAGGTTATAAATTCCAGTCTAGTGTGGGCAATTTAGAGACCTTGTCTTCAAGTTAAATAATAAAAAAGGGCTGGTGCTATAACTCAGGGCAAAAGCCCTGGGTTTAATCCTCAGTGCTACCAAAAAAAAAAAAAAAAACTTAGCTCTTTTTTATCATGTCATTATAATTATCTAAAGTTGTTCCTCAAATATAATAATTTTAACAAGTAGGACAAAAAGTCAATTATTGATCATTGGTGTATTTCAGATTATATTATGTAATATATACCATTCTGGGTGTCGCTTTAAGATGGTAAAGTGTTTAAAGTCATAAAACCACTAAGAAAATATTAAAGCTATTAAAGGATGTTTGAGGCAAGGGGATTCAGTTGTCACAACTAAAAATAACTGTTCATATTTTAAAAATTATCGTAAGTAGTTGGAAATAAATTAGTTCTTAGTAACTTCAGAAGGCACTTTGATAATGAGTGGCAGTAATAAAGAGACATGTTTAAAGTCAATTTTATGACTCCAAACCTGGCTAAAACCCTCATTATTAAGCTCTTATGAATGTCACATTATTTTAAAAAGCCATGTGTTAAAGCATTGTATTTACTGTTTCACACAAGGCCAGAATTTCCACATCAGTTTTACAAAGTAGATAACATCTACCAAATGGGTTTAATCCCTTTTCAAGTATTCTCATTGGTAGAGGGTAAAGTTCATACTTCCACAATAAATCTTAATTATTATTAACTGTAAATTAGTTTTAGTTCAGTCCCATGATTTGTAGTCAAGAACATGGCTGTAAAATGCTCCAAACACAAATTAAAAGGAGAAAGGTTTATCTATCTCACAGTTTGTAGAGGTTTCAGTCCATAATCAGCTAGCTGGCAGGGTGGCATGGCTGACAGGGATGGCAGAAGAGAAACAGTTTATAGCAGACAAAAGGTAGCAGAGCAACAAGGGACACCTACAGCTCTCTCTACGCCTTATATTTTATCCAGGCTACTTAGGGCAGGTAGCACTCACACCCTTAATCCTGGTGCCCTTGCTCCTAGTATTGCACCATGAATCAATCCCAGTGTTAAAACGCTACCTCTGAAAAAGCCCCACCTATAACTTCATGAGGTTTTAAGGGGACATCTAGAGACAAACTATAACAAAACCCTCTAACTCATGAGCTATTTTCTAGCTCTTGGTCCCCTCATCTTTAAAGTCAGCAATAGCTGACTGACTTATATCTCATCACTGCCACTGAGTCTTTTGCTTCCCTCTTTCAGACTTAAAACACTCTGTAATTACAGCATGTTTACTCAGATAATCCAGGATAATCTAGGTTTGGGTCATCTGACTAGTGGCTTTACTGTCTATCTGCAACTGAGTTCTCTCTTGCCATGTAATGTGACATACTCAGATTCCAGAGATTGACACAGACAGCTTTATTAGGCCATTATTCTGTGTACCACATATGATTAATTGTTCCTTTAGTTTTCTTTGGAACTTCCATGTACTATTATCTGTCTCTGAAACTGCATTAAAACTATTCACATGTGTATATTATCCAAGTCTCTTTTAGAAACTATTCTAAAAGATAATTCTGAGTTTTTGCTTATAGTAAAATTTGAATGATACAGAGAAGATTAGCATGGCCCTGATAAGAAGGATAACACACAAATCTGTGAAGCGTTCCATATTTTTAAAAAAATAAATAATACTACTCATTAGTTTAAGATATCCCAATTGCATCAATACACAGGTGGCATGAAAGGGCCTTCATAATGTGACCCCTATCCACTTGAACAAGCAGACCTTTCTCAATCCCCCAAAGACACCAAGGCTTCTGATAACATAACATCAAGCTACTGGGCTAAAAATCACAGCAAATGACCTGATTTTCTTCAATGTGCCAGGTTTTCTTACACTCTACTGATTCTGTTTAAAATGCTTTCTGTAGCCTATTTCTACTCTCCCTTCTAAAGTAGAATAACTGGCTCCAATCATTTAAGGTTCCATCAAAGTGGCTTTCAAGACCAACTCTAATCGTCACTTCCTCTAAAAACTTCCTGAGATACCTATTCCTAACTTGGGTTAAGCAATCATCTTTGTCACAGTATAATTTTTTAGAAAATTTGTAACTTTAATGAGATATTCAGCTCCTTGCAAAAAAAAGATTACAAATTTTTCATCTCTGGACCCAATTTTGTTATGGACTTTGGGAAATATGTGATTAATCTGGTGTAACAGTACATATGAAAACCCATGCAAACACACAAACCATTAGGGATGCGTTATTTCTACTTTAGGACAATCTTCCAACCAATCCATTAGTCAAAAACTAAGAGGAGGTATATGTATGAAAAATGTTTGCTTTTAAGTCAGTTACAGCAGCAAAAAATTAGAAACAACCTTAATGTCCAGGAATAGAAGAATGATAGAATCTGCTAAATGATATATAAAGCAGTTTAGAATGAAAATTGCAAAAATACTGTAATTTATATACTTATGACATGTCAAGTGGAAAAGATTTAAAAAATTGTGTCACTGTAATTCCACAAAATTACAATGCACCACTGACTAAAAAAAGGGAACATAAAAATTGTATGAGTTGTGTGAGTTGTGATCATTTCCTTTATTCAGAACTTATCAATGTTTCTGTATTTTCTCAAATGTAAGTAAAACAATTTAAAATTAAATCCATATCACTAACAGATTACATATATTTGTGTATGCATATCTCTGCATCATATATTCATGCATATATTTCTTAGCTCTGTGTCCTGAAATGTCCCATAAGCAAAAACAGTAGCTATGAGCACATCTAGCCTTGATCTATGATATCATTGTCCACCAACAGGAAAGAGGGCTTTTTAGAAAAAGGTAATTCCAAGGCTAAATACAAGATACATGCAAAATACAAGATACATACATCTTATTTTACCAAAAGTAAAAAAATACTCTTGAAAATGATGTGTACATGTCACTAAACCAGGAAAAATAGCTTCTAACTAAATCTAAAACAATTTGAACAATGAAATAATGAAATTCAGTTAAATATGTAAAGGTAAAAGACCATGGTATATGTAAGTTACCTGAATTGGTTCAAAATAGAGTGGCATACACATATAAATATTTATAAAAGGCACAAACAAGAATAAACAGAAAAAAATTGAAAGACACAGAAATTGATAAGTTCCTATCTTTTTGGAAATACAAATGGCCAATAGACACATGAAAAAATGTTCAGCATCACTGGCCATTCGAGAAATGCAAATTAAAACATCTCATTTCAGAAACAATGACTATTATCAAGAAATCCAATAATAAATGTGAGGCTATGGCAGGGTGTCCTTCAATGTTGGTGGTATGTAAACTGGTAACCACTATGCAAATCAGTGTGGAGATTCCTCAAAAAACTAAAATTAGAAATCCACTAAACCCAGCTATTCTCTTTCTAGCTATCTTCTTAAGGAATCTATCTTCCTAAGTGGCATAAGCAGCTGCCTGGCAAGTGAGAGGTCACAAGTTCGATCCCCAGTACACCCCCGCAAAAAAATTCCAAATATAGTGATACATATATATGTATGTTTATAGGAGTACAATTTACAATAGCTGAATCTTGTAAGTGACCTATATGGCCATCAACAGATGAGTAGATAAAGAGAGTGTTGTATTTGTACACAGTGGAGTAGTCTGCCACAAAGGATAAACTTGATTCATTTGCAGGAAAATGAGTATACTCTGAGATTATGTTAAGTGAAATAAGTCTGGCACACAAGCTTAATTTTTGCATGGTTTCTTGTATATGAAAACCCAAACTCTAAATAAAGAATAAAATAAAAGGAAGACAATAGGAAATACTGAAGATCTTTAGCATATAGGAAGGAAGCCAAGGCATGAAGAGGAGAGAGAAAGGAAATAATATTTAAAAGGGAATTGTTAATATGTTGTGCTCATGTACCAAGTCCCTAAAGAAACATGATCATTATATACTACAAACAGGGATATATATATATATATATATATATATATATATGAAAAGCCATCTAATGGATAAAGAGAAGAGGGATGGAGAGGGAAACAGGAAATGGAGATGGGAGAAAGAATGAAAAAAGAATTAAGATATGTCATGTACATGTACAAACTCCCCATGATGAATGTAATCTTATGTACTGCAAATGTGTCCCCCAAAAAAGTTCACATGGACAAGAAATAGAAAAAAAAAGGTTCCACTTGCAGTAGAATGCTAAAATGGGAAGAGGATACTAGATTTGTTCATTTTGCAACCCATATATTAAAATTAGCAGTAATATATGCTAACCAAAGGAAAATTTTAAGCAAATATAACATCTAATGCCTCCCAACAAATTGTTTATTTATTGTGAAGAAAAGAAAAAAATACAGTGGTAAATTCAGACTACATATTGACCATGTGATCTAAATTAAGATCATCAATGAGAGACAGATGGGTAGCATGTGCTTCCAGACCTTAGAAGCAACATCCCTGTACAATAATAGTCCAGTTTAGAATGCATAACCTCAATCTAATCATGAGGAAACATAAGACAAACACAAATCCAGAAATGTTCTAGTAAGAATGAGAGGAGTAGCCATATTTAAATATGGCAAAGTCATAAAAAACAAAGACTGGAAATTTCCCAAAGTATAAGAAGCTAAAAAGACTCACCTGTCCCAAGACCGGATCCAAGGGGGTTGGGGGGCACATATGCTGTAAGGTCAATCATCAAATTGGAATATGGATGAAAAAGTATTGTTTCTATGTAAATTTATAAAACTGACATGAAATACACTCAAGTGTTTAGCATCTGTGTAGCTTAACTTAAAATAGTTCAGGAAAAAAATTATACGTATATAAAAGAAAACTCATCCACACACAAGAGTAAGCAAAAGGGATGTTCTCTGCACTATTTTTATTTCTAAATCTTTTGCAAATTTAAGTTATTTCCAATTTAAAAGTTTAAAGAAAGCTAAATCCACCTAAGAGAAACAAGAGCAACAGGAAAATAAAATTTGAAAACCCTGCTAACCAATTGCTTTTAAAACATTCACAAATGTATAGGTTTCAAGTTACTTTTCAGAATTTTTTCTTCTTTAAGAGCCTACATTCTTTCTTGAAATATGAAAATACCTACAGCTTTCTAAATAAGTTAATATGTTGAAGTCAACATTCCATCAATTGTAGGTTGCTTATTAGAAACATCAGGAGGGAGGAAAAGCATTGAAATTAAAGACCTGTATTCTCCACATTATCTACCTTTACCATTCATTTGCTGTTGATTGTACTCCAGTTCCCAAATGTAAAGCCCAGATCTTAAATTATGACTTCAGTTTTTATGACAAAGAGGAATATCCGAGACATGAACTGAGTGGAAAACGAGGAGGAAACTCTACTACTATATTGAAGAAAGCAAGCTGAAAACTGTGTGCCCTAATTGAGTACCTAAATAACTGCATTCTTCTCATAAAGCATATCACTTTGTGGCATATTAAAATTCTGGAAAGGTACTCTTGCTAGTTTTTACCCATGAGTTTGACCTCTGAAGCAAAAGCACTTTTGCTATTTTTTCTTTGAAATGTAATTCAGGAATTTGCACCCCCTTGTGGTCTAACATAAAATTCTTCTTCTTCTTTTTTTTTTTTAATTATTCATTTTTGAAAACTCGTTTTTTCCAGTTGGATTTTTGCTCAGGCAAAAATAAACCATATTACTTGATTTTGTTTTCGCTCACTTGAGCAAATGAAGATGTCACTAAAGGGTTTTTTCCTTTGTTAAATAATATTTTAAACAAAATTAGATAAATTTTCTAAGAGACCTCCACATAAACTTTTCCACATTAACTGTGGAAAAGAAATAACTGCACACACCTCATTAGTTATATAAGGACTCAACAGGAAACTACATGTGCAAGCTTAGCACAGTGCTTGATACATAATAGATACTCAGTGTTACTATTTATCAAGATCTTCATTACAGTGTTCTTGACAGGCTTTATCTATAAGATTGTTATCAAAAATTCTACAGTGAGGATATCAGGATGTGTTATTTACCTATTCATAAAGTTCTAGCACAATCTTGCAAATAAATTCCTCCAACATACTAATGTATCTACACTTCCAGATTCTCCCAACAGGCATATTTCTAAAGTACAAAGAATAATCATCTCTGGGTGTTAGAAATGTGGACAGTTTTTACTTTATGTATTTTAGACTCTTTAATAAGCACAAAAATAAAATGATTTCCACACATCATATACTTATGAAGTGGTAAGATAACTAAACATCCTTATTCACCTGACAAGAAGCATTCCTCATATTTGTCAAAAATCATCTCTCGGGCTGATTTATCTTTTTTTTTTTTTTTTTTTTTTTGCTTTTTATCGGTACCGGGGATCAAACTCACGACCACCTGCTTGCAAGGCAGGTGCTTATGCCGCTGAGCTAAATCCCCAGCCCTGATTTATCATTTTAAGGGGCTCTTTGAACAAGAATGCTAAATCCTACTGGCAGTGACTTAAATTTGAAAATACCCATTACAAAGAAGACATTTTAAAGGGCCAGTGTTAATGGCTCACAAAAATAGCTAATATTTACTTATATGTTAAACATTGTTGAAAGGCTTGATTAAAAAGACATGGTGGCGCCTGTCTGTAAGCACAACCCCAGATACTCAGGAGGCTGAAACAGATCCTGTTTAGGCAATTTAGCAAGAACCCAGTTTCAAAAAGGACTCAGATGTAGTTCAGTGGGAAAGCATCCCTAGGTTTCATCCCCAAAACAACAACAAAAAAAAATAGGAAGGGGACTTTAATACATCAGCTTATTTGCATGCTTAAAAACTATCTACTGAGCTACTAATATTATTCCTTTTCAAACAAAAAGCCCAACTGATGAAGTATCACCTAAGGTCACACATGTAGCAAATTAGCAGAGGGTGGATTCACACCAGGCCTTTTTCTTCAAGTCCACCCATTTAAAACTATACAAAATTGCCATGGAAATTTAAAACACATAGCACTCTGCTCTGTTATTTTTGATGATCTCAAAGTGCTAATGTCCATTGCTTTTCCAACTTTACCTTAATGTAATGCTAACCTTTTCCCATTTCCTTATTTCTTAGTACTTGAGAAACTTCTATATCCATTGTGAACTCACTATGATGGAGTATACCTTTTTATACTCAAACAATTGTAGATCATCATAAATTCTTTTAGAGCAGGAACTGATAGAAACAGTGATATTTCAGATTTTAAACTGTCGAATTCTTTAGAAAATGCTCTTTGGGGTTAAGAAAAAAAAGGTAGCCAACCAAAAATAATCTTAAAGAAAAAGTGTCTCAAGCAAATACATGATTAAGAAGACTTTAAAGAAAGATGTTAAAATGTTGATAATTTAGCCAAGTGTGGTGGTACATGCCTGTATGCCCAGAATTCTTAGAAGACTGAGACAGGAGATTTGACTCCAATTTAGGCAATTTAGCGACCCAGTGAAATTTGCAAGTTCCAGTACTGCCTGGGGAATTTTTTGAAATCCTGAATCAAAATTTAAAAGGGCAGAGTGATTTGCCTAGGGATATATCTCAGTGAGAACTGAGGGTGGGTGTCATAGCTCAGAACTGAAGGCCCTAGGTTCAAGCTCCATACAAGAGGGGAAAATATCTGATGCATTACTTACTGCTCTATCTTAGCGCCCAGTTTTTCAAGATTAACAAAAGTTTGCCCTAGGAATTTGGGGCAGGTCTCATATTTTAAGCATCAATTGTTATCATCTGTAAAAAGATAATATAATACCTACTTCACAGGACAGTTATGGGCAATAAACACGTACAATCTACAAGGCGTTTATGTAGCACAGTGCCCTCCAGTCAATACGTGGTAGTTACTACTGTACGTTTTTTAGCGCGTTGCATAACGGAAATCGTCTCTGCTGGATTCAGTAGCTAATTTACCACTTTTTAAATCACCCTAAGTGACATTCAAAGATTACCTATTCCTATCTCCAACTTGTAGCAGAAACTAAAGACTAGAAAAATGGCAAGAGAAATTGAATTCGATGGAAACGCCCGCATAACAGGCAGCCTAGACAGAGAAGGGCTCCGTATTTTAGAAAACTAGGCAAGGGCGCGCGCGACGTGGAGGGAAGGGGGAAACCACGCCTCCTGTGTTTGCGCAGGTTGGGACTGCAGTTTGGTAGCCCGGGCACTGGAAATCACAGATGAGGGCTCTGCCACGTGAAACCAAGGACACCACTATAATTCCTACCTAGTTTAAACTATTCTGCAGTTTAAGTCAGGCGTGGTTGCACACGCCTGTAATCCCAGCACTAGTGAGGCTGAGCGAGTTCAAAGCCAGCCTGGGCTACATAGTGAGTTCAGGGTTGGCCTGAACCACACACTGAAGCCGTCAGTTCCGCGGCCAGCTGTGATAGCTCCCGGTTACGGGTTCGTGACCCGCAAAAGCAGACTGGCGGGTTGTTTTACGCACTTGTGTGTCCAGGCACATGTTTTCAGAGGCACATCCGGTGGTTTGGAGTTTTGTAAAACGTTCTTTTCGCCTAAACTAGACCCCAGTTTTGTTTACCTTCAACTGTAGATTAAATGCCTGTAGTCTGATAGGTATTTGTGGAGTTTATGGCCAGCAAATGAAGTCTACGCCCGCCGCTGTACAAAGACGCACCACACAAGCAAGAAAATAGCGAACAGGCACTGAAAAGGCGGAGGCGCACAACCAGGATTCTACGCATGTGCAAAGCCTAGCGTGTGCGTTTGCGCCTGCGTAAAAATCGGGCTAGCGAGAGGGTGGGGGTTAATAGGAGGTATTGACAGCGGTGGAAGCAGCCCGCGTTCCCGGCATGCTTCGGGGCGGCGGGGTTGGCTCTAACGAATTTGAATGAGGAGCTTCAGCGCTTTCGGCGCCATTTTCGAGTGATGCCTGATCTCATCAATCTAGCGGGAGAGACTGGATAACCTGTCCGGGAGTATAGCACCACTAAGACCACGCCAAAAAAATCACTAAAAAATCACCAAAAATAACTTAGAGAAAAGAGCAGCCCGCGGAACTTCGCCACGCTTGGCGCAGTCGGTAAGAGCCTATAGAAGTAGTAGAGCGGGCTCGGAAGGTGGCAGTGGTAGGGCAGAGGGAGTGGGCGCGGGGCCCGCCCCCACTTCGATCGCGAAAATTCCCTGGAGAGGGTAGAGGGTAACTTGGACGTTTACGAATGGGAGGCAGTGGGCACGTTGCGGCGCGAGCGCGAGGAACGGGGACGGGGGGATGGGAGCCGCAGTTTTGAGCGGGACGCCGCGGACGGCAGCCCTTCCGCCGCCTGCCAGCGGATCTGTCAGCAGGACCCCCGGCCCGCCCGGACGCGGCGGGTCCCCGCTCTCCCGGGCGCCCTGACAAGAGAGAGGAACACGCGTCTCCCCTATTTCGAACTGAGCAGCCTTTCCGCGCAGTTTTCCCGGTCCGCTGATGGCTGTCTTCTCTTACTAAGTAACCTAAGCGGACGGAAAATTCGGGACCCGGAGTAACGGTGCTCCTGGTCAGCCGTAGCCCTCCCCCGGCACCCAGCCTCCCACCCTGTGGTCACTGACTGCAGGCCGGGAAGTGTGCGGCAGCCCCGCCGCGCTTCCCGGGCGCCTGGTCCGGCGCGTCCTTGTAGGTGGGAATGGGAGCGGCCGCTGCCGGCGCTGCGGGCGGACTGCGTGGGGCGGGGACAGGCCTTGGGTGCAGCGGTCCTGGGAAGATGCTGGACTTTCGCTTCGAGCTCTGGATTTCGGTCCTGAGCTTTCCCGGCGCTGGCCTTCCTCGAGGGGGAGGGGTGTTCAGGGTGAGATGAAAGATGGGGCTGCGAGCTCGCAATTTTCTTCTCCTGGTTATTTTCTTGGCTGATCGCAAGCCTTGAAGCATGTCTCAAAGGAAAAAAAAAAAAAAAAAACCCGTTAGACTGTATCGATGTTTTCCTGCAGAAAAGCCTTTTTAGACAACTTAATGGTAATGTTGGTATCCCCACCTTTTCTTGGGAACTCTCTTGACGGCGGAGAGAAAAAGGAGTTGTCTTTCCCGTTAGGGATTTTTTTCTTAGCTGTTGGCGTGTATCAACCATTAGTCGACAACTCTTGAGTAAAGTGAGCCTAGTGACGGCTTTAACGCAAATGCTTAATGGATAATAACTGCATTTGTAAAAATCCCTTATTAAACGTTCATTACATGTTGAATATCTTTTCCGTGCTGAAGGCACCCCTAGATTAACTCTTCGCTGATGGGATGTTTTGCTTGTGGGGCGCGCGGCTCTGGGTTACAGATATCTTGGGGATGGTTTTTGCAGCGCTGTTCAATTCGCAAAGAGGAATAACGCTGCCTAGGAACACCAGTGATACACTCTTTAGGACTGTCAGCCTACAAAGTTTTTTCTCTCTCAAAGCAATAAAACGATCGATTTCGTATATTTCTATGAAGACTAGGGGACCCGCCCTTACTTAACATCTTTTCCGGAGGAGAGTAGGAGAGCGCAACGTGATGTTTTTCAAATTGTTTCTAACGGAGCGCCCTAAACCCTGGACTTCTTTACCCATTGATTGGCTGGAAGAAAGCTGGACTGGGGGTTTGAATGTTGAATGCTAGATTATTTTTCACGACCAACCGAAAAATTTTTATTTTTAGTCGGAGAACCACAGAAATAGGAACAAAACGTTAAGACTGGAAGTTAAAGAAAAGTGTTTAGTAGTTTTTTTACTTCCACAAAGGACTTTCGGGTGGTTCTGAAATGTGTATGAAAAGTAAAACTAAAGGGACTATTTTCCCAAAATTGTATTTCTGCTGGCTGAAATTACAAAACCTGTATATTTGCTGTTTCCTTATTGGTTAAAAACTGAGTGAAGGATTTAGTTTTTTTCTTTAGATAAAAATTTCATTTTACACTACATGTATTTGCTGGATGCAGATTACTAGAGACTTCTTTTATTTTGATGAAATAAAACTTTAATTTTTTTAATGCTAAATCATTTTTTCCACGTGTTCCTTAAAATTGGATATATTTTTAGAATTTTGCTTACTTCAGTCATTGCAGTGGAGTTCAAATTTTAATGTACAAGAAATTTTTGTTTAATTTAGCTAATAGAACAGGTACGTATGAACAGGTGCGTATATATAGTATATGTGATTGCATTCCTTTGACACATAAATAGATTGTATACTGGAGTACATGCATGTTTTATTTGATTGTTTTCAATTGATGTTTATTGTTGCTTGAGACAAACATCAGTATATTTCTGTTTATTATCAAGCTTGCCGGTCCATTTATTTGCATCTTGATAAGAGGCGGGTGTGGTTTTTAGAAAAAGGTAATGAACAGCTAAGAATTGTTGCTGCTTTTAAAAAGAATTTTTAAAATTTCACAGAAATTCATAACCTTTTATGAACAGTAATTGTAATTTTGAAAGTGTATTTTATATTGTCAAATATACATTGTTAGAAAATACTTAAAACTGTAGGGCTGTAAATATATATAAGCAAGCAGTATAGCTGAGTGTAAATCTTGCTATTTTGTGTTGCCCTCATAACAATAATTGTGATCATTGAATCCATATTCATTATCTCTTCTCAGAGCTCTATTTTGGGTCATTTCATGAAAATTTTGAAACAGGTACTATTTATCCTCTATGAAATTTGATTTAATGAAATTGTAGGATGTCTTATTTCTGGTTCGAATACCTTTATATGGAGTACCTGGAATAATGGGGTTTGCTTTTTATTGTTGGTCTTTGTTTTTGTATTTTAATTTTCATTCAAATTGACTTTTAGGGTATTTAGGGGTAGGGGAAAACTTCACTGGACTGGTTAAGCATATCCATATACTTTTTTAATGCTTTGGGGTATGGAATTTTTGTTTTATTATAGGTTTTTTCTTGTTTTGAGAGTGATGGGTAAAGGTTACTTTGTTTAATAAGCCCTAGTTTGAAAGAAGTGATGGATTTCTTCATTTAAAATAAATAAAGCTTCTAAATACATTATCACCTAAATAAAATCCACAACCTTTGAAATATTTTCTCTATTATGTAATGCTAGATAAAGAGATTATGGTGTACTTGTGAACACGGTGAACATGTAGGTTTTAGTCCCAAGGAAATATATATTTTTTAAAGTTTATATGCAGTTATCTATGTTTTTCTACAGAAATTGATACAGTAGTTCTAACTTATTTTCTGCTGTTGTAAGGACTAAGAAAGTCATTATTACAGAAAAACAATGGGGAATGATACTGTTACAGTAGCTCACCTTTTTATAAAGCTAGATTTACATACTGGGGGAGAAGGAACAACAAAAGGTATCAGTCTTCATTTGATTAGCCTTTATACTGTTTTTTTTAAAAATCCAAGTAAAAGTCTGATTTTAGACTTTTTAAAATGCCATTAATTTGTCTTCATTGTATGTTTTCTAATCAGATTAATATCAATTTTAATGTTAATCAAAAACCACATGTAAGAATGAAAATTTCAGAGTAACTTTCACATTCTGGATTCCTTGTTTTGTGTACTACATTTCTCAGTTTTTTGTTTTATAAAGGCATATGTATATTTTTTATTTCTATTTATTGTTTCTAATAACTATTCAGAATGTCATAAAATACTTTAAGAAATACCAGTCAGTTGACTTGGTTTACAGAAAGAAAAAAAAATTCCCAAAGACTATCATAGCTATTTCTTCTATAACGCATAAGCTTTCACCAGTTGGATTGTAAATTTACAGTTTTGAAAAACTTAACTGTATTCTTAAACTATTAACTAAGTTTAAATGGTTTGCCTTTTTTGCGTTTGTTTAATGACAGTCCCAAATTGATTTTTTTTCTTTTTTCTTTTTTCTTTTTTTTTTTTTTTTTTTTTTACCCCTTCTAGGAGAAAGATTAGTCTATTACTAGAAGACATGCCTTAGAAAATTGTCAGAATATATGAGTGGCTTTGTCTTCTTTTTTTTCCAACTGAGCAAACTTAGAAACATAGTGCTTTACAACTAATTTTGGCACATAATTAGAACTCTGAAGCATAATTGCTGAAATTTGTTGCCCCAAATCTCATAATGCCTAAGAAAATTAGTAATAAAATACTTTATTTAAAATAATTATTGAAAAGGAGAGAAAGCATTCAATTTTCAGAAGTGACAGCGTAAGAACACTAAAGTGGTGATTGTTAGGCTAATAATACCATATTTAGAATATCACGTTACTAATATATGTGGCTGTGTTACCTGATTTATGTGTAAATGACTGTAGATCTACAAATACTGTTTTCTGGTAGAGAAATGCTAAATACATATTTTTTATTTTATTAATACTTATAAGAAATTTAACACCCTTTTGTTCAATCCTATCTTATTTTCTCTAAAGAGTGTTTACACTGTAAAGGCTTAAAGTGGTTTCTAAGTATTAATAAGCTGTGATAAATTAGAATTTTATTATCTAAAGGTTTTTTAATGTCACATTTTTACAAATACATTTTATTAAATATTTCTCTAACTTATATCCAGACCTCTTTTGTTCTTATTATGTAGCATTTTTTGTTTCCCTACTGTTTAAAATCTTACACTGCCATGTTAAAATTTAACATTTAGTTTTTTGCTGTTTTTTTTAACTTAATACACCTTAATTCTCAGTCTGCTTAAAATATGGAAAACTTAATTTTTAAATGTTATATTGTTTGAATTGGTATTTATGAGATACATGATTGTATGAGTTTTGTCACAAATAAATATTTGACTCAGGAATAAAGGTTTTTCTGATGTGGGATTTTTTTTGTTGTTTTCGTAAGTCATTCTTAAAGTGAAAAACTCATTCAGAGCACTATGGTGTAATTTAAACCATGGTTAAAAAATAAACCTTGGTAATTTAATATTTTTATATAGTTGATGGTCACTAAATCATTAAGATTCAGAAAGGTGAAGCGTGTGAAAAAGACACTCATATACTCAGTTAAATCTCACCTTTACTTTGAAACATTAAAACACTATTGATATAGTGGCTGTCTATTGTATTACTTGTAAGTATTTTAATTATTTGAAAAATAAATTACAAATTTTGATGTTAGAACTATAATGTGTTAAAATATTTGGAAATGTCCAGATATTCATTTAGGCTTGGTTAAAGACTGAAGTTGAAAATAATGTAATTTCTATTAGCATTAATTCATTTTATAATTTGAGGGAAAATTAGTTAAATTTTGTCCCTATGACTTGCATAATTTTTTTAATCTCTGTGGATTTTGAGTTTTAAAAGCACAGACTATTTCTGATTCGTTTTTTTTTTTAAAGTTCCTTCTGCTAGTTCTCTGACAGCTACCTACATACACACATCCATGCTGCTTTGAAAACAAATGTCCTAAAGAGTAATGAAAGCAGAAACACATTCTGATTTGTTTGAAGAGGCTTCGGATGACAAAGCGTATCACAGGTGTTCCTAATTAAGTTATTTCTTGAAACATTATTTTCACTGGTAGGGCTTCTTAGAGTATTGGCAGGATTGGGGGCATTTTGAAGACTACCTCTGTGTTCAGAGATCAACTGAAGAGCGGCAGGAGACAGAAATCTGTTGATTGTCTTCATGTTCTAATACATGACATTTTTATTGCAGGTTTTGACCTTTAAGTGAGCCAGTTCTGGAAAACAACCAAAGTTCTTTGATTGAATACTCGCATGCATTGGAACATGATTAGGAGATTAAGGTATACTAATGAATTTTAAAAGCATATCACTTTATATCTTTGCAGCAAAAGTGGTCTTGATAATTTCTGATGCTGAAACTTTTAGGTGAACTAAAATCAGTAATTAAAAATTAATTTAAAAGTCCTGTGAATTGGTCAAAACTGAGTTGTCATGCTTATTAAAACTCCAGATTTTTTAAATATAATTGATGATCACAAATTGCATTAGATCCAACGCTAACAGATTTTTTCCCAAGAGTATATAACTGCGTAATGATTTTTTTTCTTTAAGAATGTTATTACAATGTGCTATGTAAAATAAGTATGTAGCAGACTTCATTTTATAAAATGAATTTAAATCAAATGGAATTTGGTTTTTGGCTATTAGTTTGGGAAGTACATAGAGTCTACAAGTTAGCAGAGATTGAGACAATTTGAAGAAGACACATAGCATTCCAAGTTCTGTCCTAACCAAAAGTGCCAATTTGGTTGAAACTGAAAAACCTGCTTTCTTAAGCAGAAACTAGCTTCTTACTCATAGATTCTCTCTGATTAAAAACATTCAACTTGTTCATATCAAAAGTTACTAACTCTTTAATAATAAACTTGTAGAATATCTGAACAACCAACAACTTTTATTATCTTAACCTCCAAAATACTTCACCTCAGTATCGTTTTTCTGGCTTTTTTTTTTTTTTTTTTTTTTTAATACCTCCAGTTGAAATTTTCATTAGGTATTTAGCTAGTATAATTTTTATTTTCTAAATAGTGACCTGATACAATGAAGATTAATGCTGAACAGTATTACTAAGTATAGTTGGTTAATTCTTTAACAGTAAACTATTAATGGTAATATTTTTAGAAGATATTTCTTCGTGAGTTGCCAAAACATAACAATTTTTTTGTAAAATATTCAACTAAAAATACTAAGATTTGGGAAATCCTAAAGGTTTGTTTTTATAAGAAAAATTTTAATTTAGTCTTAAAATTGAAGTATAATTGTCATGGTCATAGAACTTCTTTTAGCTTTAAACAGTTTATTAGATAGATGATCCAGGAATGTGACTCTGTCGGCAGTTGAGGCTAAATGTTAAAATTTAATAGAAATCTAATATATTATAGAAGTTCTGCTATTATTTTATTGTCACTCTGTAAGGAGATTGTTTAAGATAAATACACAGTATAGAATATCTTTAAAACTTTCATTTTGGAGTGTTATAAAGCAGTTTATTTTGAATACAATGAAAATAAACACACATACCCCCCCCAAGTTAATTAGTTTCCAAATTAGTATGAAGATGAAAATTTAAAAATGAGTATCTGGGTTCAGTTTATCACTTTCAATCCAGGTGTCTTTCACATGGCCTTAGTAAGTTAAATGAAGGAAGAAAAACATAATGAATTTATATTTTAAATAAAAATATACAATCACAGAGTTCTTCCTAACTTACAATGTATGATGTTTGAAAGTTTCAAAACTTACTGTTTGAAAACAAGTATTTAACATACAGTTGTCCTCTCTGTAGTTATGTTGCTTGTAAACTTCTAAAAATTTTGCTTAGTAATATTTAAAAGCATCAATAGTTATTAACAGTTTTCTTGTATTTATCATTTCTCACAATGTGAGAAACTTTAACCTACTTAATACTGTGTGTTATTGTCAATTGTTAAAGGTTTTTACTGTTATGTTTGATTGGGTTTCTTTTAATCAACTCTTAAGATCCATTTTTGTAAAGATTTTGGCTTTCAAATTTGCAAACCTGATTATATCTAATTAACCCTTTGATTGGCCCTAAAGTATTGTCTGTTTTTGTTTTATTAAAATAGTTGTCTTTAGGGTGTTTAATCTGTCTCTCAACAAAGAAACTTAAATTTTCTTCATTAGTCTGTCTGACATATATAATACTGGATTAAAAGGGCAATGTAATTAAGCAGTTTTATAAAGTATAGCAGTTTGCTTTGATAGAGGTTTTAGAATGTAACAGGATTTTTTTTAATAACATACAATTAACTCAATAAAAATTCTTTTAAACATTTATTTGAAGCAACTTTGTGCATGTGTGTATTTTGGTTTTTCTTTTTCTTAAATAATAGCCTTAATCTAGTTCTATTGTTTTTCTTCAAATAAGACCTAGTGTGGCTGGGATGGTGGTGCACAACTGTAATCCCAGAATTTGAGAGGCTGAGGCAGGATGATCATAGTGAGTTGGTGGGCAACCAGGGCTATGTAGGTCAGTTCAAGGGTAACCTGCACTATATAGTGAGCCTGCCTCAAAACAACAGCAAAAAAGAAAAGAAAGGGAGAGACCTGATGTATCAGAACTAGTGTTTTCTGATCAGTGTTCTTCAAAAGCCAACATTTAATTACTGTGAGAGTTTAAGTTTTAATTATCATTTTGAAGTACAGTTTCTCTTCCTAGCACTACAAACCAGACTTGATATTCCATTAATATATACCTGGGTTGGTTTTACTTTCCTATTTTCATGATTAGAATTTCTTGGAAGACAAACATGCAGTATGTTTTAAGTGTGATTTCTGAAATGGATTAATTCATTATATTTTTGAATGTCTGCTTTTAAAAAATTCTTCAGTAATAGTCTTTTCCATCATATAGCTTTCATACTAAATATATACAAAGTTATCTTGTTATCTTGTGGCCTTCAAATGTAATGGATTTTTAACATTGATCCCTCACTGAATTGCTAAACAAAAAAAATTTTTTTTCAATTTTGATAAAAATAAAAGGCTGTAGTTTTGTTTTATAAAATATGATCTGAATTTAAAATATTGCTACAATTTCATTATTTTTTTAAAAACTAGACTTTGTTACTAGGTATTACTATTTTAAATTGCCAGTTGTAATCTATGTATGAGTTAATGTGTCAAAATACTTTCACATTTTTCTGACTTTTTCTGAATCAAAAATTGCTTAAATGCTGATAGTTTCCATTTATTTTTTATTTTTTTGGTACTGGGGATCAAACTCATAACCTTGAGCTTACAAGGCAAGTGCTTATGCCTCTGAGTTAAATTCCCAAACTGGTTTCCATTTAAATTTAAACATGGAAGCACGGTGGTATTTGTCTTCAAGAGGATCATCCTGAGTTCCAGGCCAGCCTGAACTACATTGCAAGACCCTCTCTCAAAAGGAAACAAAAGAATTAAAAATAAATAAATTTAAACATGATTTACATTTAAAATTAGAGGTCTTTTTTTGGGTGCAGGGTGGGGAGGGTATCAGGAATTGAACTCAGGACCTCACACTTGCCAGGCAAGCTCTGTGCCACTGAGCTAAATCCCCAGTCCCTAAAGTTATAGGTCTTTAGCATTATGTATTTATAGCTAGTAATTCAACAGAATCAGTATTTCCATTTGTCTTAATCACTGGTTGAGTCTATGTTACTAAGCTCTGTAAAGTAGCTACATTTTAAGTAGGTAAATTGCATATTGAAGTTTTTTTGATAGTTGAGATTTTTGTTAAATCTTTATGGGTTAAACTCTTTATTCTTTGCTAATAGTGTCTGAAGTCAGACATATGGTGGTGATTAAATATGTGGGACCTGGGAGGAAGCCAGGGGCATTTTGTAAGCAAAATATTAACTTCATTTCTTTATTGGAATTTGAGCACTTTATTTCCTGGAGAATAGCTAGAAATGATACCCTCTTTATGCGTTCAGCCTTATAACTGGTTAAAACTCTTCAGTGACTTGATAATTGAGCAGTTTAATCTTAGGAGCTGATGATTATTGTGTGCCATTGATTTTTTTTTACTTTATGCCTACATTGCAGATTGTCTTTTGAACCAAAACACTAATTTTGTCTTTACTGTGTTTACCCACTTTTTAAACAAAAATCACAATTTTATCATACGGTGATATAAGCAGACTTGGTTGATAGCTTGAGCAGAACCCTTTTTTTTTCCTCTGTATTAATTACAGATAGTTTCTTAACTTGCTACTTAAGAAGCAGAAGCAGCAGTGAAAGTTAATAAATAAATATTACCACCCCAAACCTTTTTCTTGTCCCTTACAGTTGGGAACGGAAGCTAGGGGATAACTACTGCTTATCAGCTGTTCTTTAGATAGCATCAATATACAGTACCCCACCATCTTTACAGACCAGGTGTAAAAGCCCCAGCTTTCAGTGTATTCATACAGTTTGGAGGACACTTTTGTTGAGAGAAAAGTGTTTTCTTCTTGCTCTAGCATAAAGAAAACAGCAGGTGCTTATAGTCCTTAGGCTATTATTTTTTACTATATAGTTTTAGTTCATTTAATTTTTATTTATGAAAAAATTATTAGAATGGAAAATTATCTTCTGGAATTATGTATGGTATGTTTCATGGTTTTCACTTTTAAGCTGATAGGCTGGAAAAAAAAGTTATTAACTAAATAGCTGCTGATCCTACTTTGAGGCTATTCTAGGCATGATAGTGAGTTGAAAGCCGCTCTGAACTGCACAGGGAGACCCTGTCTCAAAAAATGAAAACACAGAGCTGGGGATTTACCTCAGTGGCACAAACGCCTGCCTGGCAAGCTGGGGGTCATGAGTTCGATCCCTGGTACAGAAAGAAAGAGAGAGAGAGAGAAACAGAAAATGAAAAAAAAAAGAGAGTTTTCTTGGGAAAGAAAAGTAAAGGTTACTGTTGCCATACTGAAATAGTTTACTTTTTCTCCCTACTTTTGGGCCATATTCTAATCCTACATTTACTTTTTTGACCTCGTTTAAACAAGGCTATTGATTTTGCTATCATTTAAAAAATCCTATACTACTCCCTGCTATAAATAACAAGAAACAAGGTAGGCCACAGCTAAAACCTTGTCCTAATTTTTCCTCCCTATTAAACTATTTTCTCTATTATAGTGGTATAGCTGCTATTTCTTATTAAAATAATATCACTTCAGATTATTCTAACTCTTTTAGAAATAGGACTTTGTACTTTTGAATAATAGACAAGAGTTCTTAATTTGTACAATATGAATTTGTACAAACATAACCTAAGTATTCACATTTTTCTCTTTATATAAATTTCTATAGATTATAGTTACAGGAAAGTGGATTTTACACTTAAAGTTCCAGTTTTGTTTATAAAACTGTTGGTGGCAAACTACAAATAACATTTTTGTTTTAATGGATAAGCCTAATATCCCAGTTTAAAATCTGACATTTGCAGTAATACACCTCCCTACCCCACCCAGTACTGATGGTTGAACTCAAGACCTTTACACTGAGCTGCATTCCCTACTCTAAAAACTATATTTTTATGTTTAAACAGTCACCAAGTTGCCCAGGATAGACAGACTTTCAGCCCTTCTGCCTCTGCCTCCCAGAGTTCTGAAGTTACACACCCAGCTTCAGTAGCAATTATATTTTTGTTATTGATTATTTATTGCTAAGAGCATTTTAAAAATGTTATTTTATTAGTACATGTGTGTATTATATAATGTTTACTTGGCAGAAACTTGTACATGAAAATCTCTTAATTCCTTTTTTATGTCCTTTCCTCCCTTCCCCACCCATCCCATCTCTTGATCCCTTTACTTTATTTTTGGTGTTTTATACATGTTTGTAATACACAATGTATACACTCCTCATGTGGGTTTGGTGCATATACAAAGTACATTCGAATTTCTTTTTCCATTTTCTTTCCCTCCTCACCATCTCTTGACCCCCTTTCCCTTTGAGAAAGATCTGTTTCCCTACTTATTATCTTTTATGTTGTTCTTTTTTATTTTGAGTTTCTTTATTTTTAAAAGACAACTATAGTTTCTCCCTATTTTTATCACAAATCATTCCTGATCACTCTCATTCTTACCAAACACAATAAACTGCAAAATAGAATATTATTTCTCTGGTATTACTACCTAAAAAAGCATTTGTCATTTATAATGTGACCTTATTCATATGAAATAATAAATGAGACTATAACTTATTTTGGCATTGTGAAGTCAAGCATATTCGAATTCCTTTTTTTAAAAAATACTTTGGCATACTTTAACAGGTAACACTAATTACTGTTATCTACTTTGAAAACATCTTTTCCTCCATTAATTCCCACTTAATGTCTGTGGACCACCTGTACCACAATAACCTAAAATAAAACATTTTTCCAGACACTGGCTATTTCAGAACCTCTGGAGGTGGGGCTTTGGAATTTGTGGGTTTTTTACTGCCTGTACCAGATTTTTTCTTTTTCTTTTTCTTTTTTTTTTTTTCAGGACACTACATATTAGAAGCATTGGATAAAATGAAATAGTGAAATTTTGTTCCATCCCAGTAAACTATTCATATCTCTTGATTTTTATTTTTTAAAATTAAAAAAAATTTTTTTTTGTCTTTTGAATTGGGAATTTTTGTAACAAGAGTTATAATTAAGTTATCAGTGTAACCTCAATTCTATGAAGAAAAATCTGTTACCAAAGCTTTATTTTTTGTGCAGGTGCCTTGGGCCAAATTTTACTAGTCCATGTGTTTGAAACATTAAGTATGCCTGTGTTAGACATAATTGGTGAAAGCAGAAAGAATTGATCATGTACAAATTTTCATCTAGATGACAGTTGTTTTTCTAAAAAAATATTTTCATTTGAATTTTTCGTATTTTCAAATGAAAAAGGGGAACTTTTCATATTCTGTTTGTTGGCACATTTGGAAATATCCTAATAAAGCTGAAGATACAATAGATTCGAAATGGTATTGATGAGCTCAGACATGTTTTAAACACATCTTGTTTATTTTTAGTAGCAAAATATTGAAGCAATGTAAATATTAAGCAACAGGAGAATGGTAAATGGTAACATAGCCTTGCAATAAACTATATAGCATTTAAAATGAGAGTTGTATATATCACCGGATACCTGTCTTCAGCAAAAACAAAAACTGTAGGAACATAATATACAGTCATGTAATATTTATATAAAATGTATAAGTCTGTGGTGTGGTTGCATTTTCAGTGAGTGGAATGGGATCAGAGTAAGCACACTAGGAACTATATCCATAATTGTGAATGTATGCATTTAATAAAGAGTGAGAGACATCAATCTTGGAATATAATCTTGAAATAATTTAAGATATCTGCAGTTCTGTGATATCCTCCAGAAGTTCAGCATACTCCAAGTTAAACATTGAAGTATGAGTTTTGTTTACACTTACTTATATTTTACTTCTGTTTCAGAAGGCAATAGAAAAATCTAAAAACTAACTGCATTATAAATAATGTAAATGCTGCTGCTGGCTGTATTCTATAATTCTGTGATATGTAAGCATCAGAAATAAATGATTGTTGATCTCAAATCGAAAGTATTCTAACTTCAGTGATCAAATGCTTAAAGTCTTCACTTTTATCTTTTCCCTAGGTTTCATGATAAAGTGAAGACCGTAATAAAACAGCCTCTTAGCCTAGCAGTTCTTATTTTGTAAGTATTAACTATCAATTCCCACTGCCATTGTTATAAAAAGTTACCATTGGTATCATTTTTCAGTTCATTTCTGATTATTTTTTCTATTCTAGACATCAGCTTTTCAATCTCTTATTCCCCTACACACTGAGGTTTAATGTTAATTTAAATTTAGAGCAAACTAATACAGCCTTGGATAAGTTTTCTATTTAGGGAAGTATTTTATAGCTAGGTCCTATTATCTCTTAAGTTTAAGAATCACAATTTTGAATCTTTTTCCTTCAGAGACATTTGCAGATAAGTAGTGGTCTTTTTAATTAACAATACTTAGGCTTATTTATCTTAAAATTTTATAAATTGAGAGTGCTGTCAGGTGTGGTGGCTCACACCTGTAATCCCAGCACTCTGGAACCTGAAGCAGGAGAATCTCTGCAAATATGAGGCCAGCCTGAACTACATAGCAAGACCTTGTCTCCAAATAAATAGATAGTATCCTTTCTACTTGAAATAATTTTTTTACATTTCACTAGATAACACTTGCGTCTTCTTTGAGAGCCACTTCATAGTTAACTATTAAAACAGGAAAGCATTCCCTTTCCTTTTATATATACAGTGGACCCCCAAAATTTGAGGATCCTAGAGCCCCCACAAATTGTTAAAAACCACAAACTTCATATATGGTTAGGAAAATGCCGTATATATGCCTGATTTTATAGTTTAAATCCTAAATATGTGTGTAATTTAATTTATTAAAATACTGTATGAATAAAGCCTTAAAAGGTGCAGGGCATTTTGGCAGCATGTTAGGGGTCTTATGGCTTTAAGATGACCAAAACATGTGGGGAATGCTGGTGCATGTGCCAGAGATGGGTTATAGGGCAGCTGCCAGTCAGCAGCAAGGAAAGCTAAATAATGCACTGGTGTTGGCTACTTGCAAACCTCCCACCAAAAAAGCAATTGCAAATGATGTTTGTGTTTCTGTGAAAATGTTCAGTGTTTCCACGGACAATTATTAGTTAGGTTCTAAGGAAAAAATCTACAAATGACAGAGGTCACAAAATCTGAACCACAACTTTGTGAGAATATACTGCATACATGCATACCTCTTTATTAGAATAAGAATCATTTGCTCCTGATTCACTTAACTTTAGAGAAGCTTGTAATTCTGATATGATAATTCTAACAAGTTAGTTGAAATTGTATCTGTGGAAGAACTCGTGGATTAGGGACATGTTAAATGCACAGTATACTTATTTCCCTAAAAGTATTTGAGACTCTTAAGTTACTAAAATGATTAATTTCTTTCTGTTCCCTGAGCTAATTCTCCATCTCTAAAGAAAACTAAACTCAAGTGTAGCTGTTTCTGTTCTTAAAGGTGTTGAAGCATGGGCTTGTTTAAATGAAAGCTAGTGCTTCAGATGCTTTCCTTTAACACATACTTGCTTTCGTGTTTCAGATCATATGTATATTAAAGGGTTGATGTTATGAGTGTAGATCGGCCATCAAACTCAATAAATTGTAAGGTTTGGAGGGGGTGAGGGATCAGTTAAATGCTGAGAACTGTTAATAATGAGCCAGTTTGCAAAGTAGTAGCCAAATGCCACAGGTCAATTATTTTTCTAATTTTTTTCTTTCATATTTTTTTCTCTGGAAAGTTAGAATGGAAACATTTGCAAAGCCCTAAAGAATCCTACGTAATCCGGGGTTGGGTTCCTTAATTGGTCCCTTGGAAGCCAGCTCAGCTTTTCTTCAACTTAACTCTTAGGAAAAGAAATCTTTTATATTGGTATTATATTTCTCCTGTAAATTGGCAGTTGATCCACTTTTCAAAAAGAAATATATATCATTTACCTCCTGATTTATAAGTACTGATAACATTATATACTTTAGCTTATTTTATGTCCTTTATAAATTTCAAAGCAAATCATCTTTCTTGGCTGTTTTCCAGCATCTTTCAAACATAGATCATTTGCCATATTTTATAGTTGGACTGCTTCTGTGGTATTTTCTATGTAGGTAGTTTATGTGGCATTCTCTTCCTGTAAATTTTAGGTGATAATATTTCCAATTAAATAATATCCAGAAAAAGTTACATGGTTACAGTAGTCAGTGATGCTATGTGATTTTGGTATGTCCTCCTTTCTTACTTTTAGTGTTTAACACTAAATAGTTCTTCTAACAGGGATTTTTTTGAACTATTATTTTATGGAATGTGTGTTATGTTTAGTGCTGTCAAAATTAAATAATTTTTAAAAATTAAATAATGGCAATGATTTGGGTTCATTTTTCCATATTAAGTTTGCCTTTCAGTTTAAACATCTAACCCTTTTGTTGCTGACAAGAGGCTGAGAAATAGTCATAGCTTTCTTTTTACTTTCCCCTTTGCTGTACTGAACTTTGAACCCAGGACCTTCATACTGAGCTGTATTCCCGATCCTTTTCTGTTTTGAGGGAGGGTCTCCCTAAACTGCCCAGGCTGACCTCAGCCTCCCAAGTAGTTTGGATTACTGTTGTTTGCCTCTGCGTGGTTTCCACTTTTTTGAACTGTTTGAGTTTCGCATTCTGTTTTTAAATACATATACTTAAATTATGTATTTGTTATGTGAGTTTAAGTAACTGTTATTTAGATCTTTAAAACATCTTTATAGAGAATTGTCAGCAGTTAAGGGCATTATATTATCTTTTTATGTAAAGTAGCAAAGATCTTAAGAAACTGACTTTACAAACAGGCAAACAAAAAGATAAACATAAAACAGAAAATTCACTATTTAGTGCTGTCTGTGTCTGTAGTCCTGCAAACAACTTTAATCTAGATAAATTACTTCCTAATTTAAGAGACATCAATTTGCCTATCTCAAGCTATAAAGAGAAATGACAGTGTTTCCCATGTAGGACAAGTTATCAAGAGATTTTTAAAAATATTATCAAATTGGTGATAAAATAGCATTGGCCTATAAGGATGCCAATCCAGAAAATGTTGTCTGTTGTTGAATAAAAAATAGTATAAATATAGGATGAACCCAAAGCACTGGAAAAAGACTATTTCAATCAGTGGGACAGTTATTGATGATATAGCAAGTGATAATATGTTTTGCTTTTGATAAAAATCATATGCACTAGACAACTGAAAATCTGATTTTTAATTTATTCATGATAGAAACAGAGTCCTATGTAAACCACTGTCTACCTCACAAGAAAATTATAGATATTTTAAATAAATTTTTTGTGGTACTGGTGGTAAAGAAGTAAGATGAATTACTATTATTTAGTAGATGTATCAAATCTACACCCTGAAAGTTACAGATTGTTTTATAATTTTAAAATTTATTTTTTTGGTGGTACTAGAGATTAAACCCAGAACCTGTGCATGGAGCTATCTCCCAGCCCTTTTTGTATTTTTTTTATTTTAAGACAAGGTATCACTAAGTTGTTCAAGCTGGGCTTGAATTTGAAATTTTCCTGTCTTAGCCTCCCAGAGTGCTGGGATTACAGGCACATGCTACCATACTCAGCCTATAATTTATGAACACAGGAAAAGTTCACAAAGTACTATAATTGTTTCTTGGTCATTATTCAAATAACCACTATTTTCTAAGAATTACACAATGTTTAGTCAAATATCAGGTACTCACTGTCTTCAGAGCCTTCATAGAGTTGCCATGTGTGCTTAACAGAATAATTGAGTTAAAGCTGAGTTTTCATAGGTTTATGTTCTCAAAAAAATTGCAACAATAAAATTAATTTTAGTGCCAAAATTATAGGCTTGTGTTTCCCCATCCTGGAAAACTTCTCAGTTTGTAAAGAGTCAAAGGAAAATAATAATTTATTTATGAAGTTATATTCGATGTTTACCTAAGAAAATTCAAAATTATATCCCACATATTTGATTTAAACAGTAACTTAAATATACAAATATAAGGAATTCTGGTAAGTAGGAATTTGAAGCTCTAAGATAACATTCCCAGAGCATTAGATATAATTGTAGCTCCTATTAGTCTGAAACTTGTGTGTTTAAATTTATTTCCATGTAAAAAGAGAAGTAAATTGAATACAAAATTGAAATATATGTTCATTTGTTAGTTTCCACAATTGTTTGACCAAAATTATCAGTTTCAGTCATCCTATTAAAACCAAAAAACAAATTTATGATTATTTTTGTTACTAAAATTTTTTAGCTGAATGTGTTGGTGTATGTCTGTAATCCCAGCATTGTGGGAGGCTAAGGCAGAATGATTACAAGTTCAAGCCTAGCTTGGGCAACTTGGCAAAACCCTGTGTCACAATTTTTAAAAATTAAAAAATGATATAGCTCAGTGCTGCCTGTCCCCCAATTTTTTTCTTTACCTTATGTAATTACATTTTCTCATAGCAAAAATTATTTGTAACTCATGAAAATTAAATTTTTAAATATTTCATTGTATGAACTACAAAGAAGGCCATCACTTTCAAGTTCCTTATCTCTGATCAGATTTCATAGTCTCAGTCAAAAATATTTAGAGAAACAATATCAGTTTAACCTGAATTTGTAAAAATTGGTTTGAGGCAGTCTTACTGTATGGTTCATTCTGACTTTGAACTCAAAGTGGCCTCAGGCTTAGAGCCATCCTGCTTTATAGCCCTTGAGTACTAGGATTGCTGGTATGACCCACCATACCCAGTGTGTTTTAATTTAATAATGCAACTGTTTATATCCAGGTTTAGCCATACATAGTAGTTCTTTATGCCCTTAGAATTTGGTACTTTATAATCAAATTTATGCACAAAATTGTCAGTTTGCTCTCTAAATCCTAAACAAGACAACTTGAAGTTGCTATGGCTTAACTGTTTTTTGCAAAGGCCCATGTGTTCAAGCCTTGATTGTCAACCTGTGTCACTATTGAAGATGGAAAATTTATTTATTTTATTTATTTATTTTGAAGATGGAAAATTTATGAGGTGGGGCCTAATAGAAGGAAGTTAGGTCAGTGAGGACAAGTCCTTAAAAGGGGTATTATTAGCCAGGTCTTTCTTGTCTCCTT